TTTTTTTTTTTTTTTTTTTTGGGTTTCTTTCAAGTGCTGGAGTATTGACTTTCTGTGTGTCCTGGACTTTGTATCTGTTCGTATTGATCTCAGACTCTTAGCTCCCTGTCACTGGTGTTTGCTCTTCACCACTACAAGCCAACACCGCTTTATGTCATGGACGAGATTGACGCGGCTTTAGGTGCGTTCAACCCCATTCCCGGGTCAAGGATCTCACTCCGCATTCAATGGACATTTTGATTTTTCTCTCTTTCTTCCTTCCTGCTCCCTTTTCATCCACCATTTGTCCATTTCTTTCGTCCTCCTTGTATATTGTTCTCATCCCTCCCTCCCTCCCTCCTTCCCTCCCTTCCTCGCACCCCTTCCTCCGCACCCCCTGTCATTATGGCCTTCTGTTTTCTTTGCCTACTAGTTTACCTTTTTCACTTTCTCGGAAGTTTCTCCAATCCTTGTCCAACTATCTCCTTGCAGCAGATTGGTGGGATTCACACACTCTCTTTTCTTCTCTTTTTGCCTTTTTTTTTTTTTTTTTTTTTTTTTTTTGAGAGAGAGAGAGAGAGAATCACCAGCAGCAGCAAATAGGAATGATGGTATGACCATACACTCCTATTATATCTGTCTTTTTTTTTCTCTTTTTCTGGTCTACCAGCCGGGCCGCCAGGGTCACCTTGGCTGCCCAGGCGGCCTGATTGTGCGAGGGTCAGGGAAGGTCACAGAAACATTTACAACGGAATCATTGTAATTACCTATTATCATAGTAATTGACATCAGAATCATGGTAATCATTGGTGGTGTTAATCCAGTAACATTGGTGGTGTTAATCCCATAACAGGACTTTGGCTGAGTGATCGTGCAAAGCGCTGAGGAGGTGATGCTTGATCTCTGTATCAAAATCGGTTGAGGAAGCCTATACATATGCCTTACAACAACCCACACAGGGGCGCACACATCCTCCTACAACACACACAGGGGCGCACACATCCTCCTACCCTTAACATGATTGTTAAAGGGCGCCGTCAAGGGGAGTGGACGGTTGATACCGGACCAAACACCTTGACCGTTTCCCAAATTCTTGAACATCTCCATTTCATTGTCACAAACACGTATCTTTATGCAGCGGATGGCACCTTGCGACATCAGCTGATTGGCATCCCGAAGGGGACTAATTCTGGTCCGGAGATAGCTAATTTGACGTTGTATTGGGATGAGGCTCGATTTGTTGATGACCTCCAGCAGTGTGATCTTCGCGCAGCTCAACGGTATGCGTTCACATACCGCTTGATCGATGATGTTCTCTCATGGGGACATCTGCCACCACCGTCAGAGCACTATGGCCTCGAATGGAAGGAGACCACAGCGCCAGCGCCTGATGGCTCTTGCACATTCTAAGGTGCACGCCTCCAAGTCCGCTCTGATGGCTCCTTGCGTATGAGTGTCTTTGACAAAGCAGATGAATGGAATTTCCCTGTTATTCGTTATCCTAGTGCTACGTCTAACGTCCCTGCACACCAGCTGGCGGGAGTGTTTACAGGCCAGCTTACTAGGTTTGAGTATGTCTGCAACAACTGGTATGATTTCAAAACTGCAGCAGCGATGCTCACACGCCGCATGCTTTTTCGCGGGCACTCTCCAACAACGCTTGCGAAAGGATGGACTTCCTATATTCGTAAACGTCAACACAGGTACCCTGTGCACGTGATCCGCCTCTCCAGCTGGTTCCGCAGCTTGCTTCGATGGTCTATTCATCACCCGCTTTCTCGGGTATCCACACACTGTCCTCGGACTACGCCTGTCAAAACCCCTTTTTTATTATCGGCGCCTGTCACACCTATCACAGCCTCTTCTTCATTACCTGCGTCTACCGCACCTGCATCCTCGTCAGTCTTAGTAACCCCTTCCATGTTGTTTGTGACCCTGGCTGCCCCTTTCCCGTTCGCAGCCTCTTCCTCATCGGCCTTGGTTGCTTCTACGATTGATTCCGCGGGAGCAAGTCGACCCGCAGCTGCTGTGTCGCCCTTGGTCTCGGTGTGTTCCTCCATGGCATCCGTGGCCAACGCAGCTGCTGTGCCGCCCTTGGTCTCGGTGTGTTCCTTCATGGCATCCATGACCACCGCAGCTGCTTTGTCGTCCTTGGTCTCGGTGCGTTCCTCCATGGCATCCGTGGCCATGCCTGCATTACCACCTGCAGAGTCCCCTCTTCGGGTCTCACCTACGACTACCCCCCCTGTCTCTGCTTCAGCCACTTCACCACCCCTGACTTCATCCCCCCCGTCTTCACCTCCTATATTTCCCCTGGTTTTATCGCCGTTTGTTACCCACCTTTCAACAACTCTACCACCCCTGTCTTCACCACTCCTACCTCCCCTGGTTTTGTCTCCATCCGTTACCCCTCTTCCTAATCCACAAACCACTTCGTCCACACAGACTCCGTCATCAAGTTCTGCCCCTGCAGAAAGCCTACTTCGCCGTCCTAGACGCTGACTTCGACCTACTTCCCAACCTCAGCTTACTCCCCTTTCCTCCATCTCTGTTCTTGGACGAAGAAGAACCCGTTCATTCTCCCCAGCACGGCCCTCCCCAACATCCCGTCCTCGTCTTTTGCCGCCCCAAGCATCCTTACCACGCCTGCAACGCTCTTCGACTGCAGACCTTTCTGCAACGCGGCAAACACAAAACAGGAGGGATGATGGCGACGGACCATCCGAGGATGAACTTGGCAAGGGGAGTGTAGGAGATTCTGTAGAAAATCTGCCTGACCGGCCTCCACCGAATCTGTGTGGCCCCGCTGCTACTAACATCTGCCTGCAAGCCTATCGTCGGGAACCATATACTCACCTTGATTTCTTGGCCATTGCTTCCGATCTTGATGCTCGGGAACGTGAGTTATATGGCGATAACCCGACTCTGCATTCCCCACAAGATAGTAATTACACACCACATGGGGGATTCAATGTCTCTGTTTTGGAGACTGCTTTGATAAGGCGCCGGCTTGATATGCAGCGTGCCCCTTCGGGTGGCAACCCGGGCCACTGTTCGCACCTTTGTGCCTATGTTCTACATGCTCCTGGCCACTACACCGCTCTTGTCCGTGCCTCTGGTTCTTGGGAATTATGGAATGGCGGTGCTATGGTGCAAACTATTATTGCCATCTGTGATCTCGTGCGTAATTACCCTAACCTGCAACTGTTCCATGCCATTGACCCTATGGATACCTCGTGTACTTCCATACCCGCCTCTACGCCTATCTCTGTGCCTGCCTTCGTACCTATCTCTGTGCCTGTTTCTGTGTCTGTCTCCTTCCAGATTACTGACTCTATGGGTACCATGTGTGCTTCCATCCCCGCCTCTGCACCTGTCTCTGTGCCTGCCTCCACACCAGTCTCCATGCCCGTTTCTGTGTCTGTCTCCGTGACTACCTCCATGTCTTTAGTCTTCATTCCCCCACATGATGGACTAACACCTTGTGACCTCTTTCTTTGTGAGATCACTGACACAGTTACACTTGGTTGTGGAAAGCGTCGACTTTGTCGACATCACTACAACCGTATAATTTTTCGGGCCCGCTGTCGGCAGGGATGCCACCTGTATCCGGATTGTGAACATCCTTTACATCTAGATGCAGTATGTCCCATCTGTGCCTGCGGGCGCTATAGTGAATGTGCACTTAACTGTGATGGTGAACGCCCCACAATCGTCATGGCCTGCAACTGGCATGCCCTCTGTCGTGCATGCTTCAGAGGTATGGTTAATGCTAGCCACCCTAGTTCCTGCTGTGACGAAGTTGCTTACCTAAATGGTTTTCGTCCTGTAGATCAGCGGGAGGGCTGCTACCATCCCCCGCATCCTTATGACAGTTGTCCTATCTGTCGTGAGGGTCTTACTTAGACGTACCTTGCACCCAGACAAAAATGTGCAGGTGCGCTGAAAAGAGTGTACAAGAATGTGCAAAGGTGGGGAACCCTTCACTAAAACTGCAAAACTGTGAAGAATGCAGTAAAAGAAGAACATAGCCTGCACCCTAACACCCTTAAAAGAAAAGTTCGAAGGGTGAAAATGAAGATGAAAAATGAAGAAGGAAGTGTAGTTGCGCTGAAAAGCGAACGTGGTAGACTCTTCACCAAAACTGCAAAACTGTGAAAGAAAGAAGAATGCAGTGAAAGAAAGAAGATGTTTGGGTCACTTTTTTTACTTTTTCTCCCTCTGCCTATCGGTTTTCCTTTTCTGCTCCTCTCTTCCTTGTGTTTAACACCTCTTCCTTCACTCTGCCTCTTTCCCATAGCGTGCAAGTGGGCTGTTATGGCATACGGGGATGGGGGCAGCTCGCGCTCAACTTCATCAACGTGGCGAGCCTTGTACGTTAGAGGCATAGTGGAGAAGGCGTTAAGAAGACTGAGAAACTGAATGATTTCAATGTGTCTTTGTTTTTTATTTTTATCCTTTGATTCAGTGTATTTTTTTTGTAAAACACCTAGGCTGAACCCCGGGCCGCCCGGCGACCTGGTCGTCGCCCGGGGGCGGGGCCGGGCCGCCTGCCCGGTTGTTCCGCCCGGTTGGCCACCGGGCGACTCCAGCGCATCCCAGAAGGGGGGGG